TAATTTCTCTTATGTTGCACATACTTCATAGCCCTAATATGCTGTGCTTCAACTCAGCTGGTCTGTTTTCATTAATTTAGGTGATCATATTTCATTATGTCAAAATAATTTGGAATAAAAACCAGACTATTATTATTTAAGAGGATCAATCTAAACTTACATTCTAATAACTGTCTAAAACAATAAGTAGGTAGAGATAAATACTAAATATTGTGTGAGCGTACACCCAGATTTATCTTTCGATGCTACGGACATGTTCAGCAATGTGTAGATCTGATCAGATTCTGGCTTTAAGTACTTTTATGTGTTAAACTATGTGAAATTGTGTACTTGCTTATATAATGGTCTAATTACTAAAAGCCTTGAGGAGGGGTAAACATAAAAGAAGATAGAGACAGCAGATAAAAGTGCAAAACCTAGTGCTATCAGTTACTCATAGAAAAGTCTGAGAGATGTCCAAAATATAATTGAAATGAAATAAGGCTAAAAAGGTCAAGCACCTGAAACAAAATATGCTAAATAAAATCTAAATGTGTCTTTGGTGTGCAGCATAGAACTTTAAATTAGCCCATTAAGGGAATAGTTTGAGTATTTTGAAGTGGGGTTGTATGTACTGATCCATGGTCTGTTTGTTATTTGACTATGAAGCAGATAGGGATCCCAGCACAGTTGGGATCTATCCACTGCTGTGGACAGGGGTTGCAAAAAAAAAAATATTTTATCCACATTCAAAAGCCAACCTCAAAAAAATCTTAATCCGTTTTAACTATATTAAGAATATCTTCACTGCTTTACCTTGCTTTCAGACAGGCTTTTTCTTTGGCATTAACTGTAAAACCTCCATATTCCTACTAGTGCTGTCAAAATGGGCCAGAAATATGGTCCATTATTCCTTTAAGGAAAAAACACATAAGTTTGATCTATTCGATTATCTGCTGTTGCACATTATGTCCGATAACCAATACTTAACATGCCACGCCATCTACCAAAAGACTTGACCCCCTCTGAAGGGCCGTGGTCAGCGTATCATTTCATGCTTCTGTATTGTTGGTAGCAATTATTGATGCTCTAGCTCAACCAAGTTCTGCTCAAGCACTCATCGCTCTCCTTTTAGTGACTTTGTACCTAATCCCAGTGTTTACACACTATTCAGTTCTGCTCGTTACAGTACTTTAGCTCAGCAGTTAGGGTTGGCTTCTCTCTCTCTGTCTTGCCCTCTGTTGTTTGGTGTCAAATGTTTAGCTATTCCTCCACCTCCTTCAAATAATAATGGCACATGTAATAAATGTGTTTTATTTTGCTGGGCTGGATGCAAGGCTTGAATTGAAAGCGGGTTCCATGCCATGGAAGCTGAATTGTTAGCTGCTGTAGTTATCGAGCTCCCAGCAGCCCTTGTAGCTCACACTATAATTTGGCACTACTGAATTGAATCCAGACCGGACTTTTTAGATTGTTCAGTGTGCAAATCACTGTCTCAGACGCTGAGTTTGATTGTGAACTTTCTGGCATTGTTACCACACAGTTATAGTGGATTTATTCGCTTGTGTCAGATTGACCATTCAGTGCAACGGCCTAGAACGCGTGAGACAGACAACAGTGGTAGTTTTACCCATAAACGATTATTCATTTTCGTATCGATTATTTTTTGCAGTTCGATTTAGAATATTGGTTGACAGCCGTTATTCCTAAGCAAAAGCCCAACTGTGTTGCGCACTCTTATTATGCCGCAGATCAGCTGTTTGGGTCGGACTTGTAGCGGTAAAGCCCACACGCCATCTTTAAATCTTTGGAAACAGAACATTGAAATTCAGTCTGACCTGGCAACCATCTAATCTGTGGTGTGATACAGTGCGTGGCACTGTTGGGTTTATTCGGAATATGGGAGTTCTATGGGTAGTGCAAAAAAAAAATGTAATCTGCCTGACTGTGAGGTAAAGCGGTGAAAATATTCTTAATATTGATATCAATATATGTTGTAACGGGTCCCCTAAGAACTTAAGAACTTAAGAACGGATGCCACTGTACAGTTAGTTTTCCATTATATTAACTCTAAAGTCGTCAGCCAGCAAACCAAACACAGTAATTCCTCTACAGCCCTTTTGTCTGCGTCCATTTGCCCTCCATCACTCAGTGACAGCTATCGAGGCGGCAGCCAGTCAGTGTCAGTGGCCTTGTTCACACTGAGCCAGTCCCTACCCCAGCAACTCCCGGCACACTCTGTGCCCTGAGCCAGGCCAGCGGGAGATCCGGAAAGGCTCGAAAGGGCCAAAGCACAAAGGGGCCAGCTGCTTGCAGAGCATTGGCTTTACATAGAAGGAAGCAGGGCTTACTGAATGTACTGGATGCATTACGTGATCCATCTTTTTATAGTGTGGTTATTCCAAATGGAAAATTAGCAGTGGAAACAGGAACACACTGAACGTTTTTTATAGAATATACAGTATGTATTCATTTATAGTTACTCATGATTCACTTGAATTATTCCAGACAAGTGGCTCATGATCCACCGGTGAGTCGTATGCCCTCTCCCCTCAGTGACATTATTTAAGAAACAAAAGCCTGTCTACTCACATTTCATATGCTGTCACTTCAACGCTTAATTTTTGTGCGTTGCTAAAATCAATTCTCAAACCATCACAACACCTAGTGCCCTACACTGACATCCGGGGCATTATGTGACGTGAAAGTGTAAAACTGCTCTGACACGGTGAGCCACACTCAGTGTCTGCATTACCTGCATTCAGCTCTGCTTAAGCTTAAAACAGTGGCTTATGAAGGCAAGCAAGAGTGTGCAAACACATCACGAGGCTCATAAATATCTCATTCTACAAGGGATTCTACGTATGCATTCTTATGAGAGCTTACACTGAAAGAGGAGACGTGCAGTAAGTGCATTAAATATGGCCGCATAAGAGCTGCAGGGCTGGAAAGAAAACAAGCAAGGCCAATTTATTTCCTTTCATAGTTCTTTAGTTCTCTCATTGTTTTATGTCTGACAAGCCTTTACTATGTTTAAAGAAATTAGTCAATTTCAGAAGATGGTTAAAAATGACATTATTTAGGGAAGAAGGGTCAGTGGGAATAAGCCATCCTCAAAAACTAAGAAATAGCATCTGTCATGAAAATGGAACATAATACACAAAATGCAGCTGAGTGCTTGACGTAAGAAATGTTCTACCAAGTTTGCTTTTATTGATATTTTCTTTTTCACCTTCATTTGTATTTTCTGTTCAGTGAGCGATATAACTTTGTATCCAGCCTGGACTCAGTTAAGGTTTCGAGGCCTCCTATCAACATGCTTTTGTGGTGAAACATGAAAAAGAGAATTAATAGGTGGAGGATGAGCAGTTGTGACTTTGCTTTTGCATTTGGCCTAGAGCCAGCTGAGGGGTAGTGCTGACAAACACGTGCATGTTTCTTCAACAAGCGAAGACACCCAATTTACACGTCCTAATAAACTAACAACCCAACACCTGAACAGTTGAATATGTGAATGTTGCCAACAACATTATAAATCTGCTGACAGGTTTATGGTGAAAAGCATCATAAATATGCTAAATCAAAGTGACGTAGAGAATTAAAGTTTAAGTGTCAAGGATTTTCATCTTCTGCACAAACTATCACAATAAAAGCCTTCCAGTGAAAGCTGCTGTCCCTCGAGGCAGCCCTATTGGGAAGACCCTCGTTCTCAAGAGGCTTTGTCACAGATGCTCTTTTTGTCTAAATTAGAAAGTGATCATCACAGAAAGAAAGGTCAAACTGTGTGATAGAGAGAGACAGTTTTTTTAAAGTTAAAAGTCACAGGCAAAAATGTAAACTTAAACAAGGCAGGATATCAGATCTGTGATTGGATTATAACAAGTTGTTGTGTAAATATATCTAAAGACTTAAATCATCAAGAATAGTCATGGTTTTACAGATAATTGTTGGCTGTTTACAAATGTAAATATGATAAAATGAGTGATTTAAAAACCTGATAGTCATCACATTTGCTCTTCAGACATATTTAAACACCCACCTCCTCACAAGAACCCTCCGAAGAAACAAAACACCACATCAGGAGAAGCATTTCCTCAGCTGTTGACATTGTTGTAAGGTCCAATTTTCAGATATGATAGAGTGGCTTTAAAAACTCTGGGCTGCTAGTATTGATGTCTAAAGCACTTTAGCAGTATCTCTGTCTCCCTCACATATACACACATGCACACACATACACACACTCCACTTCCCCTTCCTGGTAAAGTGCAGGATGTGCGGATGGAGAACTAAGCAGTTTTTTTTCCCTCCTCTGCTGTTGCCAGGAATGCTTTATGGGCCATGTTAATATTGGAGTTCTCCTGCTGGAAAGATTGCTCAATTCAATCAAGCGAGTCACTGCCTTGTAAAGTCATTACACTTTGTGCAATGTCATGCGTTCTGTAGCCAGTGGACAGTCCTGTGTTCTGTCCCGGCATTAGGGAAGTGGCCTAACGAAAGCACGTGTGCCTGGCACGTCAGCACCTATAAATAGCCATCACCAACTAACGTAAACACTTTTGAAAAATCAATTAGAGATGCATTTTCCATAACCAAAATACAGCATGTTGTCCTTGTCAACTTGCTCCGGGCAGACTTAAAAATAAAAAGACTCACTTTCATATCGAATTTGCACATACTGAGAGCTGGAGGGTATGAGATTGCAAAAGAAACGAGGAGAGAAGATGAAGAGATTGTGGGGCAGAGAGGGAGGGGGAAGTTGATATCAGGGCAGAATATCAGAAGAAGAAGAAAAATACAGTGACCTCACTGATATCATCTCCTGCAACTGTGTCACTTTTCTGAGAGGGACAGAAGTGCTGCAGGGAAAACTTAAAATATGCATAGAGGAAAGATGGAGAGGCCAGAGAGAACGGGAGACCAAGTGAGTGGAAAGAAAACAAAAACAAGAGCAGAAGAAGAGGAGAGGAGAGGGAAGTACTTTTTAAAGGCTCAGTGCAGGCTGAAATAAGCGTGAGTCTTACCTGCTCAGAGGTTATGGTTGGTGGGACGGAGAAGTGAGGAGAGTCAAAGGGTCCCGGGGTGGTCTGGGTGGTAGGGGGTCTCGGTCTGGCTCGAAGCAGGGCTGGAGGGTGGTCCAGGAGAGGGGAGGAAGGATGGAGTGACAGGGAGCAGGGAGACGGGGAGGCTAAAGGGGGGAGAAGAAACGCTGCTTGCCTCTCCCTCCCTTACTCTCTCTCTCTTTATCTCTTTTCTCCCTCCAACATACACACACACACGCGCTCGGAGGCAGACACCAAAACCCCGAGTCACTCAGATAATAGGCAGAGAAAGAGTCTTTACATTTACACGCTCTGCCACAGGGGGAGGATGGGGTGAGCTCTCCTCCCACTCTCCTCTAGGCAGCCAATGGGAGAAGGCACAGAGGTGTCCAGGCAGCCAATGAAAGTGGAGGCAGCCGGTGCCTTGCCCCAGCCAATAAGTGCAATAGCTCATATCCAGTTGAAATAATTACAATATGGAAGGAGTCATGAAAAGCTTCCCTTTTTGAAGGACAGACCAAGCATTGCACTCGAGCCAGTGAGTGTGATTTAGGGCTGCAACAGACATTAGAGTGATTAGATTGTGGGCCACTTAACCCAGCACAATATCACTGCCGCCAGACAGGAAAAGAGGCTTCAGTCAGCTGGAGTTTGAGAATTACTCATGTATGGTCAAATGAGGCACACAGGCACAAAAGCAGGCACACATGATGACACATGCATGCATGTGTTCACATTCACAGGCTCTCTCACACACACACCCACATAATCAATTCCCTTCTGTCACGTACAGTACATTTACACTCCGCATTTTCCTACAGCGCTCATCAACAACACTGAGCAGAGAATAAGAACAAAGTGTGAAATTTCATCAGGCGTCTTTGCTCGTGTGTTCACTAAGGAGCATACTTCACTTCCACAGGTCTCATTTTATCCCCCCCTCCCCCTCCCGCTCAATCGATGGCTCTGGCAAGCACCCAGCTTGATAAATGATCAATGGTGAACTGTCAGGTTGAGGAATGAAAGGCACATCACCATTCCACTCTTCATTCTGCACCAGGGAAGTGAAGGAAACACCAGTTATAATGTTACATCAAAAACAGTGCAAAGAAGCAGTACTTTTCCGTTGTTCTTTCTGTCAGCAAACACTGCTCGGCGACTTGCTGAAAGGTAGATTTTCTGAGGGATGGAGGGAATTCTCAGGGGCAGCCAGCTGTGGGGGATGCAGGGTTTTTATGTATTGCTGTGAAACTCTGGGGTTTCTTCGTGATGTTCACAGGCTCCAACAATAACTTGGCTTCACTGAGTCCCCAAGGAAAATGACCCACCTATTTCTGCACCGCTGTTCACAGCGGTTGAGGGCTAGTGTCTCTCCCAGTATGCACTGGAAAGGAGGCAGGCGAAAACCCTGAACGGCTGGGAGTCAATCTCAGGATTAACACACACAGACAAACAAAATCGCACTCACATTCACACATGTGGGCACCTGAGTGTTTCCAGTTCACCTAACCTGCATGCATTTGAGATGTCAGTAGAAACCCATGCAGACAAGCCAGTGGGATTCCAGGGAAAACTAGTAACTGGAAGGGTTCTTGGAGAGTGCAGACCCCCGTCAAGGAATATAGTCTAATCTTCTATGATATGCAAATCTGTGCGCAACCACTATTACAATTTACCTACCTTGCAATGTTAAAGAAAGTGAAAAATAATTTGTATCGACACCGTGATTCAGTTTTTCCTTGGCCCATGCCCCCATTCCTCTTCCACCAAGTTTCATGAAAGTCGGGCCAGTAGTTTCTCCACAAGGCACAAAAGAAAGTTACATTTTTGTTTATGTCAACATCCATGGTCAAACTTTAATCTGAATAGGCTGGTATCATAGTATCTTATGCAGTTTCTTTCTTTCTTCATAAGAAACTATAAGTCTACGACTGCAACAATTACCTTTTTAAATGCAATTACAATTTCCTGAAGCCCAAGGTCACATCAGCAAATTGCTTGTTTAGTCCAACCAGCCATCAAAAACCTGAGGATATTCAGGTAGAAGAGCAGTTAATCCTTATAACAGAGATGCTTGAACCAGAGGCCATTTACTACGTTTGTTTAAAAAATTACTTAAACAATCAATTGATAATCAAATTATATCAGTTGATCAACTAATTATTTCAGTTCTAATCAATTGACAAATCTCTCATAGCATGAAGTGTAGTTTATATTTCAGTGCATATTTAACTTTGTGCTGCTGCATTAAGTTCAAACTTCTTTACATTGAAGTGACTCAGCCAATTGTTCTGACTTGAACAATGTAAAAATTGCTATCAGATTTATGTAGTGTGGTAAAGTAACCGTACTGGTTAAAAGTCCAGAAGATTGTTTGTTCTAATTTTGGACTGACATAAAATGCATCCCTTATGTTCAACATAGATTTAATAATTGGGTTTGATTATGTCAGATTATTTCATTCCACTATCCTAAATATTGGAATACAAAAACATTGTATGCAGCGTATACTTCCCCATCACCATCTGTGAAAAATTTTGAAGAAATTGAATAAGGTTATTAGGTGAAATATGTTATTTCTCCATCAAGATGAAACTGTTGCGGGGTCTACAGATTATGGCATTACTCCCCTTTGAATGATCTTTTGCAGGGGCCTTGAAAATCAATGAGGCTGTCAATACGTGAGTGCATTATAACATGGTCGGATATGCACAGCACAAGTGTTGCATCAAACTGTCAGTTTAGCGGAGAGTAAAGTCGAGAAGTTTGTATTTTCTCTGAAATCGATATCACCAGACAGGGGGTGCATGACAGGAAATATCCCCCGTCAGTCTGGAAATATCCTTACTAGAGTCTTACTTGTTTAATGGCATCTAAGATTGGATATAGTTAAGTACATGCTTGATTCCTAATCAGAAAAATAATTTCACGGATATTTATAATATTTGACATGATTTTCTCCTTCTTCATATGCACAAGTTTGTATCTCAACAACACAATGATTGTGAATTATCTTGTGAATGTGCCGACACTGTGCATTACAATATCTCTGGATAAATCCAATCAGTATGGAACCTACAGCGGAGCAGTCTATAGCAATAACAGGACAGAAGGGTCACCAATTCCAAAGGCAACTCTGTAATTTACACTAGCATAGATTTACAGAACAGGGCTGATACGAGCCTCCGTCTGCGTGTGAGTGGGAGAGGAAGAGACATAAAAAATTCATTAGAAGATGGAAGGAGATGTCACATCGAATATGTAGCCAGCTGCAGTGATGACCACGGGTAGTGAGCTGTGTAAGGTTGTTGAGGTAGCCGTGAACCCCCTCTGTAGACCTGACCCAGGGGAATTCTAAATGACACGACCACGGAGGTCTCATCATAGAGGAGATGCAAAAAAAAAAAAACGGAAGCGTGATAAATGTCAACAGATATTTGTTTTCAGTGGTTATTTGGTAGTTGATCATAAAATGTCTAACAAATATTGGCTTTAGGATTTCTTTATTGATGAAACATAACAAGCTATATATCCAAGGAGCTGTTATGTTTTGGCTCAGAATTTTGCCAAGAGCTGAAGAATTATTTTTCCTCTCTGCTACTAAGTAACATTTTCATCCAGAAAAATACATAAAATATGCATTAAACCAAATGCACAGGCACAGATTGCATTAATTAAATTGTGCCAAGTATGGGAAAGGCAATCAGTAATAGAAATGGTATTGGCCAGTAGGGTAACTCATAATCTTTTTACATAGAAGAATAGGATCAACTCTGTCATAGACTAATACACAGTACAATGTAGAAAACGCCACATCCCTGGAAAATGTTTGACAGGAAGCTGCTGTACCTTGACTTTGAATTATACCTCCCTGAAGTCAAATTCAAATGGAAAGGTGATAAAAGGCACTGGAGCAACATACCTGGGTCAGTGTAAAGGAGAGAGCAAGTATGATGAAGTGGTCAAAGCCTATCTTCACAATGCCAGGAATATCCACTCTAGATAACATCCTCCTCATCAAATATTTAAAGACAGGAGGGAAAAAAATAGACTTAAATGCCAGAAGATTCACAAGGGGATTTAAAGACTGGGAGACTGTTACTCATTATCTATCTAAATGTCAGTGAAATGTGAAAGCCTTGCAGTAGGCCTTAAGTACTTCAGACACTACACAAATGTTGCTTTAGGCCTCCTTATTACCCTTTCATTTGATGGGGAAACATGTTGGTATAGTTGGAGGCAGAATGCATTAAAATGGTGATACTTGAAGATGTTTGCTAATTATTCATGGCAAGAGGTCTTGTTATACACATATATTTTCCTGTGCGTGTGTATATATGCTATGTTAGTATTCCACTAAAATAAGGTTGCTCTTCTCTCAGATAAAATGCATTAGAAGGTCACGAAACCAATTGGCTCTGTAACTACGCTGTATCCTAGCAGTGCAGTGCTAGGATATTGTTAGATTTGGGTTAATGTGACAGCGAGTCACCAGCGTCGAATAAACACAGACCAGAGATCTGACAACAGTGGCTTTTCGCTTCCGCCCCAAACGTAATTAAGTCCCCCAATATCTGGTTGTCACCTTGTTGTATCATTACCGTAGCTGGATCATTTCACTGTACTTAGTTATTACTTAGCACCCACTAAATATAGCTTTCCCCAGGCAGCCAGTGTGATAGCACTTAGCAGCAAAGCCAGCTGCGGGTTATTACATCCAAACCACCCCCAACCCACTCTAACCTCACTCAGTCAAGAAGACTTAAATGGATAATACGCCACTCAGTAAGTTGTTTTTCCTGAAGATTTATTCAAACAAGGACATCGAGGAATTGGACGGGAGTTATGATGCTAGTTTATTTTTTCATTCAAGCGGGGACACTACCACGACACTGAGCCTCCCCAGTCAATTAATATAAGCCTTCTAGCTCTCATAAGGCTGCTCAGTGGTTTGAGATGCTTAAGAGGCAGATTTTGATGAAATCGAGTGGGAAGTGACTGTATTTACTGATTATTTTTAGGGATGCTTGCTTTTTATTACGGGGTGGGTGCATACGCTACGCTTGATTCTCAAATGACATGCCAGTAAAGATGATGACTTGAGGCTCCCAATATTTAATACCAACTTTGACATGAGTTTATTGAAATGTAAAACTTGAAAGAAACTAACCCCAGAAAACTTTTGACAATTTTCACGTTCTTCTGTATTAGTAGTACGGGCTTGTATGGAGGACAAATTACACAGTATAACAAAGTTAACTTTTAAAAGCAAGTTAATACAGAATTAGTTACACTTTTACGGGCCCTAAGCATCTTGTCCGGCTAAATAGTGTGTATGACAGTACTTTCTGTTACTGTGGATACAGAACATAATTAAAAAATTTACGATAATATCAATATACTGAGCTCAGAAAACAATGGTTGCACAAATTATAACCCTAGGTCTATCAAGACGATCTACAGTATAGGCTTGCCTACTGAGAGCTGTAGTAGTGCACATGTTTTTTTTGTTTTCTGCTGTAAGGTTGGGCATTTTAGTGTGGGGCCTTATGGAGATTGCCTTAAGTGGCTGTTAGAGGAACTGCAGTTTTTGGCACTTCCCTGTTGGCTTAATTTGCCAGTGTTAATTAGCCAATGTTAGTATGTAACATGGTAACCTAACATGATGTTCCTAACCCCATAACCCTAACCCTAAACTGGGGAATCTTTGTCATGTTCCCATTACGTGCCATATAAATCTGGGGAACGTAGGAATGACCCCATGATGAACATGGGAAACGTGCTAAACATCAGCATGTTATTACAGTCTTTCATGCTGCCATGCGAGCATTAACATTTAGCTTAATGCAGTGTACAAATTCAGCCTCACAGATCCACTAGCAGCTACTGGCTATAGACTTTCTGTCTTGTTAGCAAATGTGACCATAGCCAAAAGTGTCCGAGTTGTGATGACATGATGATCTGATCAGTTTTTTACTATTCACAGTAATTTACCCATGGAACGCATCTGTTTAATTATTACTTTTTCTTTGCAAATGAAACCGCTTCTTCAGCAGAATATAGTCTGAAAACAGTTTGGGACAATTTTATTTTATGTTTATTTTTATATATGTGCTCCTGGTTGCATTTAGAATGACAAAAACTTAATAACTCACACCGCTGCTCTTCATAGTTTCCTGTTGTCAGAGCAACTTTTTTGAGTTTGCAACTGCAAACTTACCTGTAGCTGCTTTTTCTTTTTTAGCATTTGATATTCACTGTTTACCTTACTCTATTTTTGTCATTTGGGTGTGTTAAAATAACACAACAGAATAAACCATGCTGTGCAGGTGCTACAGTATAACTCATAACTTCTATAACTCAACATAAACACATTCTCCACAGTCCCATGGTGCATGTGCTATAAGACTTAATTAATACAGAAATAATTGTTCTCTGCTTTTTGTTGCTAGTGGCCTTAATTTCTTGTACAGAAAATGCAGTAGCATTACAACATAAATTAATCATAAAGTAAACATATCTTTCTAGTGTAAAATAAGTACTGATACTCCATTGTGCCACTACCAGTCGCCATAGCAAAGCAGTAATACATTTTATGCTAAGCTAAGCTAACCGTCTGCTCGCTATACAGCTATATTTAATATCAATGTTACTCTTGGTAAGAGAAAGAAGAAAGCAAATAAGTGTATTTCCCCAAACTGTGAACAGTTCTTTTGAAGAAGCACAACACTGTTTATGTGCTTTCAGTATGTTTTCTCCATAAAGACATAATCTATACCCAATGTAGATGTAGAAGAATGCCTGCTTCATAATGGCTGACCATGTGTACTTGAAATACAGTAGATCAGTGTTAAATACCACCTGAATGTCTCTCTCGATGGTGGGCATATAATTTTAAAGTGACTACCAAATTAGGCCAACTTTGAATAATTCAAATTAATCTTCTTAATCAAATATTATCTTGAAACGCCTCCTAACTTTAAAGAAGAGATTTAAGGGGATTTCATAAGCCATCGCCAATGACTGGTGACCTAATTCAGTTCTCTTTTAAAATCCACTTTACTTGTAGACCTACAGCCAATGTATTTATGATTGCCTGGTAATTTCTTTTTTTTTTTAAAGTCGACATATTCAGGCAGCCTAGGAATAATGTACTATTGTCCTAATTAGCTAATAATGCAACCCATCTCCCAACAATCATTTTACTTAAAGGTGTGTAACATTTGGGAGGAACTGAAGGCAGAGATGGAATATAATATTCATAGGTATGTTTTCATTAGTGTATAATCACTTGAGAATAATAACCACGTTCAGAATGTTTTTATCTATAGAGAGCAGTGCAGCTACATGGCTCGATGCCACTAAATCCTACACACTGGACCTTTAACTCCTAATCAAGACATCCATAGATTGTACATTAAGTGCTTCTCGAAATACTTTTCTTTTGTTTTAATATACCCATAAAATTGGCAGTTACCACTGCTATGGTTGTATTGTTATTTAAGGTCACCCAATTAACCTCCACAAGTGTTAGATGAACAATCCATCAATTCTCTAGTCATGATTTCATGATTAAACTGAACTGAGTTAACTTCCAGATGTAGATTAACTGTGAAGGTAAATAGCTGATGTATGACCAAGGTGTGTTGAGTGACACACTGACATTGATTTGTGGTCGACGCCAATGCCACCAACATCGAGTAGGACATAAAACTGCTGGTCAGGGCTGACTGAAACGTATCAAGGTCACGGTGCAGTCAGAGATCGGCAGGGTACAGTAAAGAATTGAACACACTGTACAGACCCATGTATAGTACATCACATTTTGTTGTAGTTGAAAAAGACTTTTATTCAGTGCCTGGGAGAAACAGTACAGCACAATGTGTTATAAAAAATGGATATCCACAGGTTCAGTCAAGACATCAGTAGCACTAAGGCCAAGTTAGTCTGAAATTCAATGCAAGGCTATTGTAACTGTCTCCTTTAACATACTGGTTTTTCTGTCCCTGACACCAGTGACAGCAAACACTCCAACAAAGATTAGCAGCAAACTAATCATTTCCAGCTTTCTCACTGATAGGTTTTTATGAAGTGGTAAAAGGGAAAATCATCATTTTAGATTCAAAAGGCTCGATTTCAGCTACAAGGAATCTTGCCTTCTGGATGTGGGATTATTCATTACAGTAGTGTCTGTGTCCAACAAGGTCATTTAAATTTAGCGTGAAGTAGAAGCATCTGAATGCACTTGAGAAGAAAACACTGTAACATTTCCATATTTGTAGAATAATGCATACAAAAGAAGTGATTCACTATATGAGCTTATTTTGTAAAGCAGTCCTGGTTGTGTAATAAGGCACAGTTTCTGATCAGAAGCTTAATTCGAAAAGAATTAAATGGTCTGTGCTGTGTAGAATATAAATGAGGGTATTTAGCTTTTTTTTTCCAAATCTTTTTTTTTATCCTTACATAACTTCATTTAAAAATAAATATCTATTATCTTCTTTAAATTTAAAATAGTCTTTAAAAGTTTGCTGTACCCCGTCATAACCCACAATTCTAAAATGAAATTGGAAAAAATCAATCAATACCTAAATAAAAAAACATAACAGGATGAATATAGCATTATTATAAACAGTTCAAAAGGTAAAACATTGATAACGTCAAAAAAAAAACAAAAATAAAACATTGGACAAACATGTAATATACAGAATTTTAAAAAAATGGATACAATTTGAGAACGCATTTAGCTTCACCCCTTGGAGAAAATATGTGCCAATGCCCCCGAGAAAAAGGACCAACACCCCCTCCGTTCGACCCATCTCTTTGGCGTTTATGGAGGGGAGTGTCTCTGCCAGGCAAAGAGCCACAGGGCCAGTTCATTGGACGCCACATGTTCACAAGTCGTGTTATCAGGGAATTAAAACTGTGTTTAACTAGGGCCAAAAACAAAAAAAGGGTGAGGGACGGGATTTATTTTTTGGAGTGTGATGTGAAGGCGTTCTCGATGCAGAGGATGATGTAGGAGCCGGAGCAGCTACTGGAGGTTTGCTGCAGGAGGTGGCCGCTCTGTAGTGATGATGCCAGACCCGTCACAGCGCGGTCGCCTGCCCGCCATGTTTCGCAGTATTGGTCTGTTTGCCGGTGGCCTTTGTTGGTTGATCCATGCCAGACCATTTTCTCTGGCCTAGAGTAGAGCAAAAACAAGTGCAGAGGTCAGAATATATATACATATACAGTATGTGCCCACAGATAGAATAACATACAAACTCTAACTGCGATCACCAAAAGGCTATCTAATGTGAGATTATTGTACAAACACATTCATGCCCAGTTAACAAAGACTCACCATGCGCTGTCCCTGAGGATATCTCTACCATCAAAGGAGTAGATTGGTACATTCTCCTTCATTTTGCTCACGTTTTCACCAAAGATAGACTCCCAGCTGTCGAACAAGACTTGGTCCTACAAGGAAGAGATTATGAATACTTAAATTTAATTTCTTTTAATCTAATTTTCAGTAGAAAACCGCAAACATTTCCAAGAAACCTTTAAAATAAAAGTAGTTAGGGTCCGTCTATGCAGGTACCTAATGCAGTAAACAGAATCCGCTGTATATCCGTCCTTTGTCAATATTGCCACTTCCCCAGCAGTAGTATCTCACCTTGAGGTTCATGATGGGGAAGCTGTCTCTGTCCGACCTGCGGACGATGGTGTAGAGGTCTTGAAGCTTGGAGGACAGGAAAGCTCTGAAGGTCCCCTTCAGGCCAATAGCACGGGCCTGCTGGAAGCACAGGAAGTCTGCCCCACGAATTCCTCGCATGTTACCAGTTTGAGGGGCGTTCAAGGCAATAATATGTAACTGATGAGAAAGACATAGGTTTTGGTTAAAATAGCTGCCTCTGTTCGAGGTTGTTATAGCTTTTCAAATTATTGTTGAAATCAGTGCAGTGCAATCTTATTTTTTTATCTTAAATAAGTTTCACTGTCCGGCAATGTGTGACCCTTAGAATTCAATAGGCTTTATTGGCACGATATTTGACATGTGTTGGCACAGCACAATTACTAAAATAAAATTAATATTAAATAATTAAATTGAGAAAACAATGTGAATACAAAAGAGAAAGTGCTATATTTCATAAAGCTAAACTGCTATATATAGGCTGGGCAACTATATCATCCCATATTAGCTTATTGATTGGTTTATAGCCTGTTGATATGTAACAAATAATAAAATACTCACTCCTGATCCTGATGCATGATCCACGTGGCCACCTGGCTGTGGTATAGGTGGGTTGGGTCGCCGCTGCGGAGTGACAGGATATCTGTTCTCAGTCTGCTGGGTGGATAATAATCTTCCATCTGTCTGACCTGTGTGTCTCGGGTCTGGGAATCTGGGATCATACTGTGCAGGGTATCTGGGGTCTACCGGTGGGTGTGGTGGAGGCTCAATGGGACGTATGGCAGAACTGCCTTGGGAGTAACGACCAGCTCCGTTGTTATGGGACTGGTCCTGGGACTGGGGGTAAAGGATCACAGGGGGAGGCTGAGCCTCTGCCAGCTCGTTCTCCTTCAAATGAAAATTAAGGAGATTAAAACATTATGAAACAGTTTAAACAGTCAAAATGCTAAAATGTGTTTACGGTATGCTATTTTGTATTTTTCTTCTGTGGAACTTACCAGATCTCTGAAGAAGGGACTGTACTCTCCAAGCTGAGAAGAGAAAGGAATACATTGAATCTAATTACTTTATTTACACATAACTATAGCAATATTCTGATAGTGTTTTACAGTTGAACAATAAATTGTTAGGAGGTAAAGTTTATTCAATTTGAATTGAAAATAATAAAGTGAAATATATCTTTTTTCACACCCAACATGAATACCAATATTTCTGTGAAAAAACATTATTGGCCTCCTGATGAACTTGATAGGATGTTAGCCATACTACTGTCCGGGGATATGGCAGAAACAGTGTAAACTTCTTTCTGATGTTTTTTTGCCCCCTAGTGGCCAAACAAAAATTATTATAACAGCAGCTTTAAAGTCTAATTGTATTAGAGCTTTATTGTACAGTCTATGGTTTAAAGGGGACCTATTCTGCTCATTTCAAGTCTCCACTAGAGTAGCAAAAAAACAAACTTTAGGGTTAGCAACTTTAGCCTGCAGCTAACTTAGCCGTCCTATTGGTTAACTCTGGCTGTACTGGGAGCTCAGTATTTGAGTTTAACATTACATCTTTAGTATAAGAGCTTTGGAGCGCTGGTGCCTCGAGCTCCCAGTCCATTAGCAGCAGCTAGCTGTCAGCTTATAGCAACAAGTAAGGCCAATATGTCAGTAACTTTCTGCATACAAAACATGAAGGGTTAGTCCTGACTCCAGAGCAGACCAGTTGGATAACTTATTTTGAGCATTTCCCTGTACTTTGCATTTTCTTGGGTGAAAAATAAATTACTGTACCATGACTTGCCGCAGTCCATCGCGTACTCTCAAAAAGAGGTCTGCTTTGTCTATGATGTAGATGAGGCTTCCCTCTGCCTGCCGTCTGGCAGTAGCAATCATTGTGTCATATGATCTCAAAACTGTAACCTGTGGAAAACAAATATATACGGTGTTCGGCTTTTGTTAAATTACATTAAATTACTGCCAGTTGTCAATTCTGATAATCCCTGAATATTTTATCAGGCAAATGTATTTTAGACATAACATGATCAATTCACAACAATTATTTCAGTGCCCAGACTGATCATTATCAATAACTTATTGTCATTGCCAGTTTAACAATCACATAGTCGCTGTTATATTAAAATGCAGTGGCACTTACCCCAGAGGAGGAACCAGGATTTCCAGGAGGACCAGGAGGACCAGGAGGTCCAGGGACACTGACAGCTTCAAATTAAAACAAAAGCTGGTTAATGATTTGGCTTATGAATGGCTCAAGTGGAGTTTGTCTCCAGCTGTCAACTCCAAGCTAGTTGTGAGAGGGAGAGTATGACTTCACTTAGAACATTAGAAGCTGTATTTATTCATTCGGCAAAGGCTCTAGGACGAACGCAGGAGTGTATAGAATAAAAATATCACAAATATTTCAACATAGAAAAAGCCACTTACGGTTATTGGGCCTATATGCTCCAGGAAATGAGGGAGACCCTGGAGGTCCAGGTGGTCCAGGAGGACCTGGACGTCCATCGTAACCAATCCCTGGCTGCCCTGGTGGCCCCTGGGGTCCAGGAGGGCCCATTACAGAATCTCCCTTTGGACCCTAACACAAAAGACATTAAACATTACATTTTGTCTATCATTTATGTTTATTAAAAGCTTGCATGCTTACTAATCCGACAATCTGGGCCGTTAATTCCTATAAAATATACGACAGACATTTTACTCAGAACTCACCGGCAGACCTGGTTTACCAGTTGGGCCTTGTGGGCCTTGTGCTCCTCCAAAACGTGGGTCATAATATCCACCACCACCAGGCTCTCCCTTTTCTCCCTTCCCACCTGTTTCTCCACGTGCTCCCTTCAGTTCATTCTGTTGGAAACAGTTTGACATTATGAAGATGTTTCGTCTTACCAGGAGAGCATACTGATGAAACCGACTGACTGTGGTGTACGGATAAGCTACTTTACCTTGAATGTGTAAATATCAAAATTAGAGGATGTTCCTGGAAAAAACAAAGGTTTTAGTAATTAAGTACTAATAATTCACTTTAAAACAGTCTTGCATCTCAGCAGATATGTATGCAATAATGGTACAGCATGTATATTTTATGCAAACTAGGATTTACCTGGGATTCCTGGAAGTCCTGGATCACCACGGTCTCCTTTTTCCCCTTTATTTTCTAAAACAAAATATCATTTTTAACATTAGACACAATATCCAACAGGTGCATCTGACCTCAGCACTGTAAAACTGTTAGCACCGTGTGTCACCGGCAGTGATGTCCTGTGTTATAGCAAGTCATTCTTCAAATCTAGTAAGACTTGACAGCTTAATCTCTTGACAATAAAGTGTATATCCCCTTCAGGCTGAGGCAGCTGGATCAAACTGAAATTAAGATAGAACTGTTTATCTCTGCAGACACTTTAAACCCTTTCTAAATCTCTCTTCCTTGACTGGCACGTTTGCTTAACTTCTCCATTCTGATCCCACTCTATGAAAACGACAAACTGTGTGTGTGTTGGGGGTCATTACCTGGGTAATTCCTTAAAGTGTCATCATAGCGCTGTGGACAGAGAGAAAAAACGCACAATTAAGTCATTCCCAGTGACAACAGAGGAAAGGATTTGTCTGTTTATGCTAAACTAGCAAATTAGCAACTGAACTAATTTTATAAGGAGTACGGTCTAGACCTGTTCTATTTGAAAAGTGTCCTGAGATAACTGCTGTTATGAATTTGCTAATATGATACAGTTAAGCTCTCAGCCACAAGAGGGTACATGGGAGATATGAACTTTGTGTTCTACAGATAACAATACAATAAACATAAATGTTAGGGCTGCACAATTTATCAAAAATATTATTGAAATAAGTGAAAATCAATCAAATCAAATACATTTTCCCAATGAAAATTACAATGCAAAAATGTTAATTCCAACACTAATGGAGAATCATATCGCAATATCTGTCAATATAATCACAATATGATTGTTTTTACCATATGGTGAAGCCCTTATGAATGTCAAAAAAAATTGTTTGAGGTCTAATGTACTCACGTTGAAGCGGTCTAAGGGAATGGCTGGCCCAGGGGGTCCAGGTGGTCCGGGTGGTCCTGGTTGGCCAGGGACTCCCTGATGAAAACACATTTATTCACTCTCTTACTACATATACAGAAGGATTGTGGTGACATTACAGACATACCATCATTAACATAGATGGACAGTATTTATTTTTGACAGTGATTGCTAGCATTGATGTAGACATTGGTATGTTCTAGATGTTAGAGCATTCTCCTAGCAAACAACAAGTCTGAGAAATGTACAGCTTAGATTAAGATTAAGTACACTCTGGAATGGTGTATCTACATACATATTAATGTCTATTAAATTGTATCACAGTGGCACTGACAAATTCAAAAGCACAGACACAAGTACACAACAGCTGACATTTGGTAAATTAAACTGGGATTGTGCTTTTGAAACCCAAGACTGTTAGATCAGCCTATCTAAAGCAGTGGTAATGATATTAACACTTACTGGGTAGCCATAGCCAGAACCAACTGCTGGGTCTCCTTTTTCACCCTTGTATCCGTTTACACCAGGGCGACCCTGAGGAGAGAAAGTCTTTGATTAATATTTTCCTGCACAACAGAAACACTGGTATTTAAATGTAACTACAGCAATGTACAATAGGTCAGCAAAATGAAATGAATGGTACTTTGTATAAACAGAATAGTATTTATATGAAAATAAACAAACATAAGACAGCAATGAATGGGTACTTACGGGTCTTCCAGGCATTCCAATTTCACCCTTTAATCCAGGAGGCCCATACTGGCCCTACAACAGTAAATCATGACATAAAAGACAGTATGAGCTGAAAAAAATGCTCCTTTAGTTAAAAACTGTATTGGTACATGAGTGTAGAAAAACACTTACAGAGGGTCCAACAGGTCCAGGAGGTCCTCTCTCTCCCTACAGGCATGGTGAAGGAAGCAGATTTCCGTTTTAACAACATGACAAAGACAACCGTAACAGAGAACACAAAAAGCTTGAATACAGGCCATCAGCAGAGCACAACAGGCAACAAATGTAGACATAAAAAGTAGTAACATATACTACAGAGGCGTGTGTCAAAGAGTTTGTATTTGTGTTTGATTTATTGTGTGAGAGTAAGAGAGACGAGACAGAAATACATCTCGTCAAATGCACTGAGACTCACCTTCAGACCTGATAGCCCTTCTAAAGACAGAAGACTTCCATCGGGTCCAATTACTAAGCCCGGCTCACCTTTCTCACCCTGAACAGCAGCAACGAGACACCACACTCAATTACAGATGTGTCTTAATGATGAGGAGTGGCTAAATTAACAGCTGAACAAACGCACAACAAAGACTTTACCTTCACGCCATAGCCTGTAGGACCGGGGTCTCCTCTGTCACCCTTTGGTCCAATAGGGCCCTGCAGGACAATAAGACAATAAATATGAGATTTATTAACTATCAAGAGGTAACAGTCATTTGGCAACAAGAAGGTCTTTGTTCCTCTAGATCAATTTAAGTCCACATGCTGAGCCAATATATTAGTCTCTGTTTAGATATTCAGTGTAGAAAATAGTAGATAAGAGCTTATTTGAGTAGATGCAGTGCCAATATGGTACAACTATACAGAGCTTAGTTTTGTGGATGCCAGACTTTACTATTATCTGGAGGCATAATGAGAATTTGAAAGAAATTGCGTTTGAATTGATCGGAGTGTAAAAAAACGGTCTCTTCTTTTTGCCTGTGAAGCAGTTTGCTTTCAGGTCGTCGATCAGAGGTGTGTTGTGCATGTGAAGAGGTTTTTACAGTGTTACAAAGCGAGAGCAATACAGGCCAGATAGATCTATATGAATGAAGATAAAATTAAAGAGACAGTCCCTAATTCAAATGTGAACAAAAGAGGCACCGCCCACATCAAAACTGAGCATACAGAATTTGAACCTGTAATTAAATGAAAAGACCAAAAGCAACAATGAATTGATGCTACTAGAAAGTATTGTTTGTGAAGACCAAGCTTGATATGGCTTACTAATCAACGCCATAGAGCTCCACTGTTGTCCAAAATTGTTTTACTTTTTACTTATGTGCAATAATCACAGTTAAATTAAAAAAAAAAAAGTCTAACACAAAAATGTAGCTAATCTACTTAATCAGATTTGTTTAAATGGGCTTTGACTAAGAATAGACTGGCAACATAAGTAAACACCCCAACTACTGACAGAGAGAAGTTGTAAAGTACCGACAAGCAGATTGTGGTTGGTTTTGGTCTTTTCATGAAATAATAATAACAAAAAAGTAGGAAGAATAGAATATAGAGTACATTAACAAGAAGAAAAATGCCTGTGTCTTTTAATATCACACAGAATGCTAGACAGTCCATTATGTACAGCTAAACACACTTTACATTCATGGTGCTAATAAGGGCAAGGTGCATTAATTATATAACACAGGGAGACTTACAGGGAATCCAGCTTGACCAGGTAAACCAGGTCCTCCCTGTACAGGAAAACATAATGCATTTTTACATTAAGCTTCATGCACTCATTTGTTTCTACTGACTTTATAATTACCAAAACTGTTCAAGCAAATCCACACGCAACTTATTCTGGTCTGGATTTGTCTGAACTCCTTTTAAAATGTAGGTTGTGAAGTAAGAGCAGCTTTCTCTCAGTGTAGATGAACTGTATGCAACTCTGGTAAAACAGAGGGGTTTGTTATTATATTTGATAAAAGGTCACACAGAAGTGACAACAACCCTGTGTTTTCATAAAGTTTGCCACACACATTCAGCACTGATGTGTCTTTTAAACAGTGGTTCTGTAATTGCCCGAACACACAAAAGGACAAGATAGAATAGTGCATCTTCTGTCGTTCCAGTGTGAACCTTTTAAAAAGATGGAAAAATGAGGAGGAAGCCTGAAACTGTGTGCCTGTGCAGTCCCACATACATGTAAAAATGACACATTATCAACTACAATCTCCAACACTAAGTTGTATTTGTTCCCAAGTTGTTTTGCTGTGTTTTGGTATCGTTATTACTATGGAAACATGAATACAAACCTGAGGCCCGGCACTGCCAACGACACCATCCGACTGTAGTGACATAAAGAGAATGAGGTTAAGATGTACACATGTACTCATTAAAACTGCAGATTGCACGTCTGCCACTGCTTATTGTTACTTACATTGCCAGATGTCTGGTAGATGATTTGTCCTGGTGGGCCGGGTGGGCCGGGTGGACCTGGGTGTCCGGTTCCATCTCGACCTGGGTCACCCTAAAACAACATACACACAGCTAAATTATATAAATAACCATCCCACTTAGTAAGACATCTAAGACCAGACCAGAAAGTGAAATGTATTTTTCTTTTGATATTAACAAAGAATATATAGAAACTACAAATAACTATTAACAGAAAGAAAGAAAGAAAGAA